CATCTCGTATCGCGTTCGACTGTTAAAATCTAGCAGGTCTTGTCTGCTGGACTGTTGCAGCGCATACCCATTCACGATACATCGCAAAAGATGGCTCTCGATAGGGTAGATGCGATTTCCGACTCGCAATGTCGTCTCGCTGACATCTCCAGTGGGATTCATACCCTGAACGCATGTGCTCAAAAGGCAACACATTTATTTTCGTTTAAAAGTAGGCTTTCGAGATTACCAGTCGATCAAATATGTGAGATGTATTCAGTGACCGGGTAACTGGGAGTTGAATTTGAGTGATCAGAGTAGTTGAGAAGGTAAGCAGGGATGTATGGTACCTGAAAAGAGACTGGAGCATTTACAATCGCTGGCTCAAGAGGATCTGGCAGACTGACGTCTATTCGGACCTCTCTTGAGTTGCGAATATCGAGACTTCTGGTTTGTCTACAGAAATAATCAAGTATACTTGACATTATGAAATGAAGCAAAGTTGGCTTTCGAGCAATCTCTTGTTTCATAATTGTTGAGCTTACTTCCATTTCGAATCAAAGTGCTCGGTGAAGAGATTCGAAGCTCGATCGCACCAGAAGTCGACGACCAGATTGATTGCAAGATTAAGTTGACAATTGAGATAGAGAAGGACAAAAATTAATCTTTTTTAGACGTTTTAGTGATCGTCTTCTGGTGAGATCGACCTTCGAATCACTTCACTAAACATTTTCATTCGTAAGGTAAGTGGGCTCAACAATTGTGCGACAAGAGATTCCTCGAAACCCAACTTTTCTTCGTATGACTATATTTTTGTTCAAGAAGTACTGTTCGTTTCGAAGGCGAATAATAGAGAAATTAAGTAACTTCTTTGTTTCCACCACAAATCTGATTTGTCAGATGTCAGCCTTGCCATGTGATTCACTGACACTCGTGATCGTGCTGCGTTTCTGTGAAGAACGTGCGCGTAAGACAAGTCGACTAAGCCGACCCAACAATCAAGGCAAAACGTAACAATTAAGTGTTGTTGTCGTGACTACCAGTAGATCAGTAATATAAGATGTATGCTCATCTCATATTACTGATTTACTGGTAGTCACGAAAACAATACTTTATTCGAAAAATAAAGTATAGTAGTCGATTGTTATAGCAAAACATACGTTTGCTTCATCGACAATTCCACCAAAAGAATAGGATATGGCAAAAAGGCCTGACCATCCTTGAAATTCACATTTGCTCTATGACCCAAGGGCACTCGTGGCAATATGGTCAAGTGGTTAACCTGTCAAGCTCCCATTCTGCACTGTCACGGTTCGACTCCCGTTGAGGGTGTTGATAAGACCGATGCGAGGTCGAAGCTGCAGTCCACCCCAGCCGGGACGAGGACAACTTTTGGGCAAGCAAGGCCATGTGAAATTGAGTGGAAACGTCAGCTCAATTCATATGATTGTGGGAAAATTCTTCTTCTGCCAGTCCTTCATCGCCTTAAACGAAATTGCGTGAATACATCTCAAAACGTAACAAGACACTTTTCGATAAAGGAATTCATATTTAAGAATGACATAAATTAACATTTAATGATAGGCTCAAATTAATGAAATCATAAGGATCATTTGGCTATTGTCACCATCGGTACTTATGAAGCTAACCAAACAACCGTATAGATACGAAGAGAAACTTGGTTTCGATGACTCTCCTGAGGTAACATTGTTAGGGAGACCTTCATTTCTAATGAAAGTGCATGATGAAGAGATTCGTTTGTCGATCTCACCAGATGAGGACGGATGAAAATCGTTGTACTAT